TTTTTTCTATTTGTAGAAAATGTTTATTAAAAAGTGTCTTTTATACATGCTTTTTTAGTGTCTGGCATCCAGCCTTTTACCTTTAAAAACTTTATTGGGGAAGTCTGAAGGGTCAATGTCGATTAGTATTGCAGTTTGGCACGTCAGGTCAGTATCGAAGGTAATTGAGTTGCGCTTGCGCCGATGACGAGCCGCTTGCGTAACAATATATTGACGTACGTAACATACGTGTGCGCACCGCACGTGGTACAACAACTAGCCTTGTGAATTATTTATTTCCGAGGCAGTAACATTTTCACACGCCGGTCGACGACCCCGCGGCGACCGCGATCAAAGACGCGACATCTCTGCGCGAGTGACATTGATCATCCCGCTTTAAGACATGCTCGACGATGCAACTGCATATCTCAGTGTCAACATATAAACAACACTAGCGACTTTGAATGAATAAGCTTTGTTATTGCTTGGAAATTGATTATCTTATAATCGTGTGTGAAGTTCTTCTTACTGATGTTAATTTGTATTAGGGTACTCGTTGAAGTTAGGTACATATTTGCAGCCGTATTTGTAGTAGCCGTTGAGATGTTAAGGATCTTGATTGTTTTTATTTAATAGCTTGTAGAGTTGTGAATGTGTTTATTTCTTGCATCTCGAACGCGTTTCCCTTAGAATAGCAAAGAGTTGCTTATTACCTTGTTACTTATTCTGCACATAAGACGTACCTTAAAGTTGTCCTGGAAATTTAACTAATATACACCTTGAAACGATTTGACATAGGAAACTGAGGGTATGTTAGGTATATTCGTGTGTAATTTGCCAGAACACACTGTAACGTCAGCAACAAAATTTGCGTGCGGGTGCGCTGCAGAAATCAAATACAAATTTTGTCGATGACGTTACTAAAAGGTTTTCACGAATATTCCTGATGAACCCCCTCTGTATTGTTAAGAATATAATTTAAAGTCATAAATTAATTTCTATTTTTTTGGTCATGCTTATCTGGTGCTCAACAACAGGAAATGAAGTAAATGTCCAGTTATATTGGGAAAAATCATCGAATCTCATTAAATTATTAATAGAAGCTGCCCACGTTCACAGACCGTATTGCTCAGGACCTACGCCTTGCGAAGCAGAAGCACTCTCGAAGGGTATTTGTGTTCCCCTTAGGGCTACCACCACTTATGATTTGAGCGAAATTCTTCGCAGGATACTTCTTCACTAAATTGGGGATACTGATTTGGCATATGTTTTCGGGTCATAATGCATAATGTGAAATCAGTCACTGCTTCTTGTTTTTTTCCTTCTGCTAAGGATAAGAAACGGATTATGTTTTCTTATAGTCGTCGGCTAAGGAGAGGGGGCTGGCAAGTGATCATTAGTTGTGGTTGTTTTTCGTCGGAAATCTTACATCGATCTCTTTTGAAAGTTAACAACCCTACTCTCCGTATAGGATCCATCGAGCTAGCTAAATATAGTGTGCGCTGCCCTGGAGCGTGGTTTACGTGCCACTGACCTAGCCTCGACAGGGCGTCAGTCATCTGGCTGCAGTCACTCGACTGACACGCTACGACTCACATTATGTGTAGCTTATTGGAAATCTTTACAAAGGAATGGTAATAATTATATACACGATAGAAAAAAAGATAGTTTCATTTCTAAAAGCTAAGGATTACATTGGATTGCATGAGAATTAACTAAACTAGAAAACGTTAGCGTTAGATCAACTTCAAATATTAAATCATAAAATTAGTTAACTAAAAAGTAAAACGCACACATTTTAGCAATACGAACAAGTCTACTTCTACGTACGAAAATTCCCCACGGTGTGTTTTTCCCAACATGAATATCTCAGTTGTGCTTCTCGTTTTGATAATTTCCTTATTCTCTTAATATAAAGTCGTGTTTATCATTTGATACATACGGTTTCTTTGCAATATTGTAACGCAAACTAATTCCTTTTTAATCGCTTAAAGTAGATATCTACAAAAAAAGTACCGTAAAATATCTCGGTTCTATTAAATACTCACAAATGCAACACATGAAAGGATTATGTTCACAGAGGTACATATTTTAACTTTGCAAGCCCCTATATCTTTTTTGTCGTCGCATTAAGTCTGATTAGTCCACTTAGCTGCCGCGCATTACAGCGCCACTCCGAATTAAGAGGCTGCCGTCGCTGAAAACTGTGCAGCGAGAATATCGCGTCTGTAGGTAGTATACAGACGTAGGTAGTAGGCAAATAAAGTTTACATCTCTTCATATATTTTGAATTAAAATAAGCCGACACTGTAGCCACTTTCTTATTTACCCATAGAAAAACTCTTTCAGATGTTATAATAGACACTTGGTAATAAGTAAGCTTTAAATGTATCCGATGCAATATCGTTTTTGGTTATAAAAGTTTAAAATCTTGGAAATCTTAGAATCCTCTGATATAAATGTTTGCGGTCTTCTAATGTCTTAGTCTGGTCCGAAGATTTAACATCATATTTAATTTATGAAATTACGAGAAATATTGCTAAGTGCATGAAATTTTTTGCTTTTAAAGTAATTGTGGTAACCCTGCATATAGGAGTATATAACACGGACGCAGTCTCTCGTTGATGAGCGCCGGATTTGGGCCAAGTGCAGTCGGTCGTCGCATTTATAACGCAACGCAACTAATACTGCCCCGACTCGCGAACGAATCAACTTTAACTGGCTGTGTAGAACCTTTCATTACAAATATCTTTTAGCCATAACTCTAACCTAACTAGTGTGAATTTTAAATTATTCTTAATGACCTGCTTATATTTTCACACCTTACATTATCTTATGCGGTTGTAACTCCTCGTTTCTTCGTTATGCCCTTTTTGACTATCACAATTCACCCTTGAGTCATATCATTGAACATGAAAAACTATTTTCTATCCTAATTTTGCTTGAATATATATATCGTGATTAGCACGTTGCGGAATATATCTTACTGGCCCTTTTTGATAGATTTAGCAATTAGATATTCGATATTTTACGTAATATCGAGTTATGTAAAATATGTCCGATATATCTGAGCTTAACATTGCGTATTTTATAGTAGATAAATTTGTAAATTTATAACGCAACTACAGTGCTCTAATGCGCTACATCTTTTATTCAATACTAAAGTAAAAAGACGTGTCCGCCGCGGAGAACAGTACGAGAGCAATACAGAAACAGAACGTAGATAGAGCGCGCGGCCCGGCATGTCCCGACAGCTTCCAACAATAATAATTAATTGACTCGTCCGTTCGTTATCGTGCTTTTATATTGACGTTCCCGAGCGAGCGAGCGGGCGAGGCGCATTCGGAATGAAATTTCCATAAAAACTTTTGTGCTCCGGCGGACGTTGCGAGCGCACGTTAAAATCGTCGGGCAATAAAACAGCGGCCGGAGCGGCGCGGCGCGGCGAGGCGCGACGGCGCAGAGCGGCCGCGAGTGCGAGCGGGACGCCGACATGCGAGCGGCCGGAGCGCGGCAAAAACATCGGCGCGGTTATCGCGCACTGCCCCCGCCCGCCCCGCGCCGGCCCCGCTCGCTCGCCGCCCGCACCCCTCAGCCCCGCGCCCCGCATTAACCTCGCCGGCGGGGGTCGGCTCAACTTGCCTACTGCTGCCTCGTCGAGCGCCTTCGCTCGCTGTGAACGCGCCCGTTTAGAGAACACAATATTATCGCGAGGTTTTAACTTGGAAAAGCTCGATGTTTACGCGTCCGCTGGGCAGTTAGCTGTCATCTATTGCCGGTTTTGTTGCACCGAATCGCCTTAACGTTGTGGTCGAAACGCGATCGAGCGACGATTGATTTACGAGTCGAGGGACCCACTTCTTTTGAAACGGTAAGTGTATAGCCGGACCACTCGAACCCTCAACGTTGTTCATAAAGATCATTTTGACGCAACGTGACATCACTTTACAAAGGAGCGTCTGTTGCGTAAGGTCTATTAGCAATAGCTCGAGTGGAACTTTTGAAAAGATAGCACCGGTTTTGTTCGATTCCGGGGAATCCTCGTGATGTTTATTTCACGAACGTGCTCTGTGTATAAGTAACCGTTGCCGGCAGCCGGTGCCGCGGCCGAGGTTGTAGTGTCAAGGCGTCTCACATAGAAAATTATTCGTATACTAATTGCGTACGCGTCGTGACGTGCGCATGTTGGTGCGCAATGGTAATGAGGCAAACCAGCTTGCGATGTAAAAAAAATGTTTACACTTTAACAGCCTTATTCCTTCTCCCTTTGCTTATTTGCAGTAAGAATGTCATTTGACCATTAAGAAGAATTCATATTGACATATTGTGCACCTGTCACTCGGCACACCATACGAAATTAAGTTGAAATCGAAATCAGGGTATCACGTCGCGTGTCGTAATTAAACAAGGCAAAACAATTTAGTAATCCAAGTAATCATTATTTTTCCATTTTAACAAAATCGTAATTTATTAAGAAAATATTAAATAATATGTAAAATCATTTGTATTTTAGGCGCATTCTGTATATTACATATACAATGTGAATGATTTGTTAAAGTACGATACGTAACTTGTGCTGGACAAACCAACAAGCATAAATACCTCGGTGAAGTAGCGTACCGTTTCGCTTTTAAAGTTGTTATGACGAAAGTAGGGAAAGGAATGTATCGGCTGGGACTCGTGAGAATGAAGGAAAGTGGACCCCGCGATGAAAGGGCGTGTGGAGTGAACGTCAGCGGGCCACACAGATCAGACGGTAAACGTGCAAAAACAACGTACTCTGTGTACAGATTACAATACCAGTATATACAGTACATGTATCTTGAAAAATATCGATAAAGCTAGGTACGTTTACTTACATTTGAAAAGCTACGGTCAAATTGATCTATAAAAACCATAATCGGTGTAAAAAAAACAAGATTAACATTTCAAGTGTCTCTGTTGCTTGGCTCCTTACGAAGATTGTTTTGAACAGTCAATGTCATCGATATTAATATGGAATGTTTGTTGTGGTGTTGCAGGATCTGACAGGTCAGAACAGCAATGACTCGGGCGGCAGCGGCAGCGGCGGCGCGGGGCGCGCGACCACGCCACACCTGAGGCCTACGCCCAGCCCCACCGGCTCCAGCGGCTCGCGCTCCATGTCACCGGCTGTCGGTATGTACATCGCCATACCATAGATATTATTATTAAGGACTTAATTGCCTATGTAGATTTTCTAAATGTACACTTTTCACTAAACCTAAATATAAATGCCGAGGACACATGAACTTGTCGTCGCGTTGAACGTAAATTGGCAGCGCATAAATCATGTAAAATTCAATCAATCGTAATTGAACGCGTTCAGTATTACATACAACGCAGTTGTAGCGTCACATGAATATGAATGAGCATGGCAACAACATTAATTGCTGCAATTGAGACGACGGTACGTCTCCTCGATTGATGAATGATTGTGTTCAATACCAAGTTTGACAGATTCAAATGACGAATGAGAAACATCGGCGTGTCCACTGCCGCGATCACGCGTGAAGCTAACAAGCAAAAGTAACGCTCCTTTAAACCAGTTATATCAATATTTAGTATCATTTCTCCTTGAGAAGATACACTTTATTGACCTTGTCTTGTTTTAATAAGTATTGAAAAAGTGATTATTTATATTGGGGGTAAAATAGCATCGTTAAAGCACTGCAATGACGCTTATTTGAACTTTATAAGTCTGCCTATGTATGGGCGTTCTATCATTTTGGGATTTTCAAATTCCCTTATTGTTGTAAAGACGGCTTTTTCTCGAATCTTTTCCTGGTTATCTCCACAATTGTTTTCCTGTATCACGTCTTATCCGAAATGAAAGACCTGTGTTAAAAGTTAGTTCTGCAGATTTCTTATTTTATATCAATTCCTTTATTTGTTGTGTTGGAAAACATTTTTAAATCATTAGTGCAATTTAAAGTTGAATGCTGATGCATGCTCCTAATTCGATAAATAATTATTACCGAGTCTGGTAGAAGTTCGTAATTTCACTAATGTACTTACTATGAGTATGCAAGTCTGGTAGTATGTGTTTTGATGGTATATATTTCTATGTTTGTAAAATCTTGTGAATCGTTTGTTGCCGGTAAGGGTGAGAGTAACATCTTTGTGAGGCATGTTGATCGGATTCATTGTGCATACTTCGTCACCGGCAGACGCGGGCTTTCCCGACATTGACCCACATAGCTCGGGCGCCCAGAGTACACCGTATTTTGCCCCTTTTGCGGGCGCGAACCACCCCGTCCTCCCACCTTATGTACGAGTGAGGGGTGGTCGCGGTATATAGGGCCTCGTGAAAAACTTACCCCCCCACCCAGGGGGCGAGCACGCAAAACAGGACCCGCCACCCCCGGGTGTCGACGCGTCAGTCTTACGTGCCGGACCATCATTGCAATCGGCAACAACAATCTTCCAATGTTTTCAAAACACCCACCCAACACACGCCACCCCGGCGACATTTTATACTTACATATTTTTATAAAACCAATCTCTTTCATTATGAAGCTTTATAGGATGGAATGGATAACCAAGTCAAAGTATCTAGCCGTATTAACATCTTTAAAGAAGAGTATTCCGTAATAAATTTTATAAGCTATACAAAGCTAACGAATAAGCGACTTATTCTTATTTTGTCTTGCGTCGGACAAGAACGGCAATGCCGATGTCTGCAGTAGCCTTCCTGTTACTCAGCTCATTAAAAAAGTCCAGTTAAATGTCAAGTGGCCGGCGTTCGGAAATGCTGCTGCGAGTTCTACGTATTACTGACAGTCGTCGCCAGGTGATAGTTGCGTACAAGAATGTCGTATGGGCGATGTGTATACGGGCAGCTATAATTATATCGAATTCAAAGTTACGCGTATTTCATCGGTAGCACCGAACAAACATCGCATTTTAAAAAGAATCCTTATATAAAGTTAAGTTTCTTGAAAGATAGTCGATATGTACCGTAGCGTAGTTTTAGGTTGAAGAAAAAATAAATCTAAACTCGCATTAGGCCTAGTAGTGTTTGGATCAAATTTATTATATTCTCTGGTTTTATTTCCTGTGGAGCACAACTTGAAATCTCTATAGAAGTTAAAGAATAAATTGTCTTAATAGTTGATTAATTGATGAACTTGAAATAGTAGCACTTAGCTTTCATTCCTGGAAAACACATAAATTAAACAGAATCCTCGAAAACCATAAGTTTGCAGTATTTATAGCGTGATAACAATGTTTGTTACTGTCATGCGGTGAGGTAGAAACTGTGTCTAGATAAGCATTTCTCAAAGTTGGCAGATTTATGCGAAGATCTGTAACTCCCTTGTCGGGCTTCCCTCGGAATGTCCTTGAGGGGTACGCCCGTCGAGGACGGCGCATTACCTCTATATACCTACTTACCCACTGTTCGCCGGTCCACGAGATATGTATATGTACCAACGTAAGTATTTATAAGCGTTTGATCCCAGGGATGGGGTACGATTTCATTCATGATTTCGGGATTATTTTAACTATTTCTGTACGTATATGTCGAGTCCTTCGGACTTGTGTGTGTTAAAATATTCTCCATTGATAAAACTCTTTATGTACGTGTTTTCGTAGAATTAAAAAAATTAAACTTGAAGCGTTCACATTTCTTTCAACTTTATGTTGTTTTCAACTTACTGTTGCAGTTAATTACTTTTGAATATTACAGTAGTATGGAATTTTTTATTTCACGGTAACTTTTTATTCCCAATACGAATAGTCTTCAATTGTCGTGAATTTAATATGTGCACGGCTTTTGAGAGAGATTCCAGAGGCGTTATGGCTTAGCAGCGCACTGCTTTCCCTTTAAAATGTATTTCCAAATAGTTAGTAACATGGTACTTCGTTAGTGTTCGCCTTAAAGAGCGTTTCGCCATTTCGTTACGAAGTCGGGGCCTTAACGAACGGCGGCCACAAAGCGATCGTGTTTTGTTAACTTCGCTCGAGCGCCCAACTTGGCTTTCTTAAAACATCGGGCTCGGGCTCGAGCAGCGGGCGAGCGGCGACTGCGCTCCAATACCGGTTGTGTGACCGCAATACGCCTCCACTTCGAAACCCGTCCGCCAGCTCGCTCGTCGTGTCCGCCTCGCCGGACGCCGTCCAACGCTGCTCCAACTCCACTCGCCCGCATGCCTACCGACTCAGAACCGTCGATGTAGCGCGAGCGTTTGTGAGGTTTCTCGTAACTCGACCCTGCGAACTAGGTAGAGGCTTAACACAGTATGACGTCAACCGTTCGGCTCGTCGTCGGGCTTCTCGACTCTCGACAAACACCCAGCTAGCAAAGTCTCATTGGAAAATTATACGACGCGCTGGCACGAGGAAAAAGACATACAAATTCATGATGCTTGAAGATATGTACATTTATAAATTATACCGGCTTACTTAAAGTAAATTACTCCTCGTTTATGTTACTCCTTTTATCATATAAACTGAATGATACTTTTATATTCAACAAATTCTCAATTTTGTGAACAATCTTTTTTTTATGTTAATACAAATGTAATGCAGTCGAGCCAGTAGACAAGAGAGTTTGTTAGTGTCGCTCCCAAATAAAAAGCGGTGTTTATCGAGCGAGCCCGTGTTCGTTTCCAATGCGAGCTCCGTCGTTATTTTAACACAATGAAGCCGCAATACCGCAACTCGACGCGCTCGAAGGTGAATTGCGTATTGTTCGACGCCCGCATTCCGCGTCACTTACGAAAACGACTCTACATCGCTATTTATAGGGCTTCCTTTGCTTTATCCCCATCGGTGCCTTAAGTTGATTAGTTTGAGACTCTAATGCGGTGGTCTTAAGAGCGTATATTGTTGTTGTGAGGTGATCAGTTGCCACGGTATACGGGCGCTAAAAGCATTTCGCAGTCGGCCGTCGTGCGTATCAGCGGTCGGCCGGAGGAATGCCATCGGGCGAGATAAGGCGCGCTGCGGCCGACTCGAACGGATTCTCTGGCTTGATAGCTTCAGCTTTAGGTACTATGACGTAAGCGATCATAGAAAAAATACTGAAGATTGCGATTATTAATGTTTTTCATTTGAATTCGGAAGCGATAGTCATTCAATTGTCCATTTTATCTAATACTTCTTTCTATCCGTGATTACCAAAATTGACTTTGACATTTTCAAACTAGTATCTTTACCATATTATTGAAACATAAAGCTCAAGGACATGGTATTTGTAGAGATATTTAGCTTCTAGTAATTACCTGCTTATACTGCGCAAGTGACAAGCGGCTCTGCCGCTGCAGCAGGTCGGTTGCGTGGCCGCTATCTACATCTCGCCATGCTGCACTGGACACGCCGCGCCAAGGGACACCTCCAGACAGCGGCCCGATTGTCGTGACGTTAAGTGACATGACGTGACGGATATATCCCGCAGGCACATATGAATAAAGCGTTCTCTATGTTGACAATAATACGACTATCGATAAGTAAAGTTTATAATCAATAAATGTAAACGGGTAAATGAATGAAAACACAAAAACCATTAAATTCGGTAACATGAAATAGTCGTAGTTCCTTCCGTAGCAACCTCAAAGTGGTAACAATGGTTTTATTTTAGAAAGGTTTTAAGGTTACATAAATAATAAAAAGACACCTGTTCATTTAAATGTCTGTCGTCGCATAAATTCCGGCGAGCCAGCACGTGCTCCCGCGTCCTTGGAAGGCCGACGACCCCTTTTAAATGAGAGCACAGAAAAAAAACCGAAAGAAACTCTTTTTGCTCGGATCCCGCCATAATGTTTGTTTTGATCGTTTTCACGTAAACGATCCGTCTTGTTTGCTTTTTTTATATGTACAACCCCCCTCCGCCGGATCGGCTCGACGAATCGTATTTATTATTTACAACTTGTCAAGTTGAACGTGAAACATTTGTTACGTATGCGTGTGCAAATAGAAACATAATGGTTACACGATTTCTGTATTATGTTTATTCAATGGGGTCGATACGAAACGAAAAATTTTTCGGAACGTAGAAAATCTTACAGGAATCATAGAAAATATACGCAAATCGTTCTCGAGGTTAAATTATGATACGCACCAAGTAAAAAATATTTAGACTTAGCTGCATGTATTCTGTTTATTGAGAACAAACTTGACATTAACAACGTGGTGATAAGGAAAGAACGCTAACAATACTTGTTACTTTTAGTGTATCTTTAATTTGACTGTCAATCCTCTTTATTTAGGAGAGGCATTTAGCTTTAAGAGTAATAAGCTAACATGTTAATGACTCCGTTGTTCAATGAAATTTACCTATGTGAACCTAATTTCTATACATAATCTGTTAATTATTTTACGTTATGATTAGGCCGAACGATCAAATGTGACATTGGCATAGAAGTTAAAACAGGCATTGTTCAACCGAGCACTTGTTGCATAACCAACCCGATCCAGTTTGCAGCACTCGTTCTAATTGTATTCAGATAACGCCGGAACACAGATAAAATAATCGAGTCAAGGTCGACGGAGGGTTGAACGTCCCACCCTCTTCTAATATCGGATATTCTTTCACTGACCGACTTGTGCAAATGTGACTGACTGTTGTACATCTTAATTAATTCTACGTCGACCCCAGTCTTGCCTTCCCCAGTTTACCAATAGCCGGAAAATTCTTATTCCTTACAGTCATTGGGAACCTGCCTAATCATGATTTTTTTAATCAGCTGGAAAACGAAAATTTCAGTCGTTACGAATTCATTAATGATAAAAATGTCTTAAAATAAATCAATTATACTTCTTCCAAATTAAAAAGTTAAACTTAACTTAAGTCTACAGATCTCCATCACAGGACGGATCTGTAGAGTTAAGTTAAGCTTAGCCTGGCTGCTACGATATTTGTGAGTTATTGAGAGTCAGAGAGTCAATTAAATACGTTTTGATCATGAGAAAAGCTAAAGAAAGCTGTTCCAATAATATAAAAGATGTCCATTGCTGTCCGTCGAACACGTAATCTTGATAACGAAGCCATGCGAGCAAATAGAGTCAAGCGGCAGCGTTCTGTTTTAAATGGGTCGCCTTGCCGGCCGCCGTGTCGTGACTGCGACGTTTTCACTAACTAGGCCGTTTTTATTATCGCCGTTATGCTCACAGACACACACCGACACATGTGACCACGCAACGTCGCTTTATTAGCTTTCATTGAATGCACGAGGATATTTTTTAAATAAAAAATACAACGATGATATTACGTTTGGTACTAAATTATGTTGTGGAAATATTTCGATACTAAAGGTCAATCCTCCCTATGATTATTCATTCGTAAAAGCTACTGTAATTGAAACTTTTTTTACCTACTCTTGTATATAAATTAAAAGAACAATTTAGTTTTATTCTCTACTCCTTTAGATGTGCACTTCATAAAGTTTAATTAGCTACAAAGTACTGAGCTCTACAAATAGACGACGAGGTGATGCGCCTGTTTATTTAGCTTTGCCCCCGCGTGGGCCACACTTGTACTGTCCGGACGTATTTCATTTTTATAGAGTAAACATGTCTCTTACTACGGTATATTAGACAACGTGATTTTTTAATTTTTGTAAATAACTTTAAGCAAAGTGTTGAGTATCTAAACACCAACTTCCGATCGAATTTTGACATATCCAATGCCGCGATATTCAAGTGTAGTCGTAGGGAGACTAGGTGGCACTGACCGTGCTAAATGAAGCACAAATCACGTCAGTAGTAGAAATCTACAGTAAACTTGTGTGAGAACCTGTAATGGTATGGTATCGTTATCTCGCATGTGTCAATCGCTTGTCGCGTGGTGTGCGGGCGGCATGCGCGCAGGAATGCGGCATGTGGTGCCGCGGTTGCCACGACTGCTACCGTCGCTACCGATGCCACCGTTGCCACCGCCGCACTGGCACTGCCGCATTCCTGCACTGTGTCTGTGCAGTGGCAAAAATATCCCAACTAAATTGGATGATTAAAATCGACATGCCACAACTAACCCAGTAACCGAATACCTTGGTTATACAAGATATTTTCCACAGATAGGAATTTTTTAGTGTTAATGGCATAACTCGTTCACGATTTATTAATTCGATTCGATTCGAAAGAAATGTAATATAAACTTGGCAATTATAATTGACATTACAAATGGAATGCAATTTACATTGGCCGCGCGCAAGTCCATGTAATTTGCAAACTTAGAGGTCAATGCCTCGACACAGAATTAGAGCAATGCATTTCGTTATGCTCAATTTAATTATACACGAAAATATAAACATGCTGTTAGTTCACTTGATAATTGCGACTGAATTGTACGAAAAGTAAAGTACTTAGATACAAAAATTGTATTGTAGGTAATATTATATCTATATATTGCTATTTTTATTTATATTTTTCATCACCTCAATAGTATTATTATTTGAAGTAGGGGATCAATTTTGGTGTATATTGTTGGACTAGTGCATGAATAAGTCATGTTGCCGGCACGTGGCGTGGTGTCCGGTGGGAAAGTAAAGGCCTCGGTGCGGCGACTGCCTGCCCTTGACAGAGCGGTTTGTACCTACTTGTACAGCCGCGCCGGACAAGATGCCTTAAGTTAACTCGACAATCAACATCTCAACACTCAATACTTCGCACTCGCAATGACTTCGACAGAGATAATCAAAGGCTAAAACGTCTACTGCCGTAATCAAGGCCATTTGAGTGACTACTATACTCTTCTCTTGTGTAGATCGTTAACGTAAAATCTACAATAAGGGACTGGTTAAGTAACCATTAAAATGACAAACCAGAAGTGTGAAAGTGACAACTTGTAATGAATGGTTATAAAATGCTCCTTTTACTTTTAATATTAGGGTTCTTTGCAGACTTACGGTTACTCAAGAGCGTCGAACGCACCTCGATAATGATTTACTTGATTAGACTAACGGATTACACAGACATAACAATGACTTGCGTTACATAAACATGTTTGAAAGGTCTGTCTATTAATTGAATCAGTTTATTTGTTTTTATACGCATTCAATATGAAATAAAAAAGCCGTAAGAACAATAGTTGGCTTCATAAGAGGACGACTTTAACATAATATACCGAATGCCCTCTACAGTTAAGAGCTTCTTTCTAAAAATGTCGTTAATATTATCTAGGGTTTCATTAAAAATAGCCGTTCTTGCATTTTGTAAGCAAAAAAAGGCGTCGATCCATAGCACCTTTCAAAGTTCCTGATTTTAATGAAAATATGCGGGCGCGTTCAAGATAATTCGCATTCGCACACTTCATGTTGTTTTGAAAAGGACGGAGAGAGCTTGAAAGAGCCCTTAAATGTTTAGTAAAAGGCGTCATTCATTGTTTATTTTTACGAGGTTTGTCGGATCCGGGCGGAACGGATGACCACGTTAGTGCGTATGAAGTCATTAAAGGTCGCCGTAAACAAATAGATATATAGGTGGGCGCATATGGTGACGCTGTTATCTATGATTCACCGGCGCCTCGCCGTCTGCCGGCTGTCTGATTGCGCCGACAAAACGTTTAATGACTCGATAACATTCGATCACCGAATTAGGGGAGACCCCTTCTGATTTTTTCCCACCGTCTCGCTACTTTGGAGGTTTCCCAATTAAGGACAACTGGAGGCGATTCGACGGTATCGACTCGCGTGCCGATCTTTTTGCGCAACGTCAACCTGCAATGTGCTCTCGCGTAACAACCTAATAATATAAGTACACCTTGTACAAGTCCAGATCGACCCACATAAAAGCTGCAATACCACTTTCGTCGTCGCAAATCACCGGCATCGGTGTCTCGGCCTCGGTCAATGCGTCGCGTGCGTGTCGCAGCCACATATACAGCTGCGATAAAGTGCACCAGAGAATTGGCGGGCTTCGGCGCTCACGTGCGCCGGAAAACGAAAGTGATCCGCCGCCTCTCCGCCCCCGATTGATGCGATGCGCCGGCTTAGGCGAGCCCTCGTTAACTGTATTATTCAAATTGATGTGCACAAGTGGCCGTGTCTCTGTGTGCGTTCTGTGCAGCGTGCGCCGTGCAGCCACTCGACACTATGCTTGTTGTTTACTCTCTCCAATTTAATTCACGCGAACGGTGCACATGTTAGGTACCTATACAATGGTCCGTTTTACCTCTCGTGGCCGGGAAACAGATTTCCTACATTTTCAATGTTGCTTCCCTTAATCGTTCCTGGTACGTCAATTTTTAAAATTGATTTTAGCAATCAATTTTGTAAGCGTAAGTTATGGTGACCTCAAATAAAGAAAAAACACAAACAATAATCCCCGAGTAAAAACAAATTATGTAAAGAGAATGGTATTGAAATCACTAAATATTCATATCACTGATTGATGGACATTCTGTAGATTACCTCATGATAACGATATTTGTTTTCCTCTTTAAATTAATATTATCGGTCATTACCTTGGCAGTGATGTCAGTACAAGGTCAGGAGAACTTGTATATTTAAAAAAATGCTAAAGAACACCTTGTTTTGTATTTATTAACCTAATTTTTGCGATAATCTGTGGCATACCTAGCATATTTCAAGCACAGTTTTCAACTTTACAAAAATAGTACAACACAGCCTAAAAGTGTATATTGGTTGGTCGATTGATAGCTAATTTAACACTTGTTACATTTCTCACAGGAATTGCATCTAGTGTTAAGATTATAATGCAATACATGTATTATATTTCAGGAACTCAAAACGTACCAATGCCCCCGCGGCCGTCGTCATCGCTGTCAGACGGCGGCGGACCGGCGGCGCGCGGAGCGGGCCCCGCGGGCGCTGCGCCCGGCGCCATGGTGGCGCAACCCTATCACCACGCGTACAAGGCGGCGCACTACCCACCGCAGCCCTACGGCTATCCGCCGCGCAACCACCACCCCTACCCCTACGCCGGCTACCGGCCTGCGCCGCCGCCGCACCCCCCACATCCGCCACAGCACTATCCACCACTCAAGGTGCGCAAATAGCACTTTTTATGACAAGTCCAATGTAAACTTTATAGATTTCGTTTAGTTACATTACAAGTGCTGTATACAGGGAGCGCGACATATGGGGCCCCCGGGCGAAGCGATGCCGCCCCCGGTGGCGCCGGGCGAGCACGACAACGGTCCCGCCGCGCCTGCCACCGCGCTCGTTACCACCGGACCCGACGGCGCGCCGCTCGACGAGGGCAGCCAGCAGAGCACGCTCAGTAACGCATCCGCCGGTACTTGTAAACTATCGCATAACCAAAGCACCACATAATAAATCGAAACCAACTATTATCTATAAAAACTATCTGATGTATTCGTGCAGTGGTTGTTGAATACGTTCGTTAGAGCATCTAATCAGAGTCGTATTGTGCTATATACTAAGTGATGACGGTGCATATTTCAGCGTCGGGCGAGGAGCAGTGCGGGTCTAAAGGGCGCAAGGAGGTGGGTCCGGGCAGCGCGGCGCCCTCGCCCTCGCCCGGCGGCGGCTCGCACTCCTCCATGCACGATGACTACGACGCGCCCGCAGCCTGGCGCCCGCCCTCTAGTCCCGTGAGTCCGGCTCTGGCGACTCTGCCCGCCACACGACACAACACTCATAATGCCACAACACAATACACCTTTAAACACAATATTAAAAGTAACAGTCAAGTTTTGACTTAACAAAACAGTTTTATACAATATAAAGAAGCAATTTAAACACATACCTAAATTTAACATTAATGGCAAATAAAAACAAATAATACATAAATCTGCACAGTATATTTATAAATGTACAATTCATTGTCAAAGATAAATACCATCAATCTAAATGATTTGCTATCGAATTGGCGTTATCTTTTCATTGACCAGTGTCGAAGTATCAAAGCACGGGTTTTTAAACACCATTAGCTACATTTATGAAGTATTCACATCAAGTAATATGCTAATCGATGTGACTAACTTATACCCCAACTCCTAGATTGATAACTTGAATTGAATAACCAACCGGTGAACAAAAATTATCACTAATGACTACATTTGTTTAATGGGTTATTGGTAGTCCAATGTAACTTCTCTAAAATCTACCCTAAGGGAAGCCTTTAGCATCCACCTTAGTGGATGTATATTCATGATTATAGTATATTGAAATGAGAAATTTTCTACATAATTTTTGTTCTTTGGTTTAGTAATTAGAAACCTTTGATATTTTTTGTCTTTAATATATACCTGCTTGTTGTGTAGTGTGGGAGTGAGAGGAAGGAATTGCATTATATGTAATGTATTTCAGGTGTTTAACAGTCACATACCGCCGGAGTCCTACAGATCAAAGGTTTATATCAAGTCAGATAGTTGGCATGTTAGCTCTCTGTAATACAATTCTAACAATTAACACATCACACTGCATGTAGTACCTCATCGTCTAGTATTTCCCTCATTAAACGGCTGAACTTTATAATGGATCATTTAGAAGTTTAAATCCTTTAGAATTTTTACCTTTTAAAAGTTTTTTTACAAATGGTCCGGCACGCCCGGTGTAATACCACGACCACACAGAAGACAGACGTGAAATGGAAGCAATTCCGTGTTTCGTCTGATGAGTGTGGTGCCGGAGGCCTAATTTAAGTCCCTTTCTCTTTATCACCCTTTTCTTATAAGGAGAGGATGGGAAGGGGAAGTGGATTTGACGTTGGAGGAGATGCATAGGAAGGGGAAATATCCTCTTTATGTGCGTCTCGTCCTTCGTCGTATAAGGGTAGGCAACGCATCTGCAATTGCGGATGTCTATGGGCAGCGGTCGCTTCGCCATTTTGGCGGATTCAAGCGGCCGCTTGCTCGTTTGCCACCATATGAAAAAAATAAAAAAAAAAGAATTAAAAATAATATCGATTATTTGGTTCGGTCGCTCTAGTGATGAAGTATGATTGCTTTGATGAAATAGAAATATTTTGACCACAAATTAGTTACGCTTCCTTGTTTTAAAATAAAGAAACCATGTCATAGTTGAAACAAGCTGGGACTAAGGAAGATTTTTACTTAAGCTTTTAGCTAATTTCTTCACTCTTGTAAGTCTTAATGGTTAAAAGATATTCTTCAGCCAACCTAATTTACAATTCAATTAATATGTTCCGTGCTACGAATATTTTGGTATTGTGGACTCTCGAGTCGGTGGCAACCATCGAGTATACAAAAAATCTTGCTTGTGCTTCAATATGTTTACTATTTATGTTGTAACAGCTTTTTAAAAATCTATTTTTTCATTGTTTGGTGAATGGTTATCGATTATTACAAAAATTGATTTTTAACGGTTTAAAAAGTCGTCTCCGCTTTCAGCTACTCTTTATTGCCCTTTTATGTAGTTTAATGTCTATTCAATCATGCTTAAAACTTCTTCTTATTTGTTATTTTGTATGTCATGCGTATATATTTATTACATTTAGTTCTAGTTTGTTATAAGTTAGAACCAATAGCTTATTTAAGAAGACTTATTTAAGAGACTGGCATGAAAGTAAACTAAGCGTAGGCTCCGAGCCACACATTGGTGACTTATAGTAAGCTGATCCTTTGAACTCGAAGGATTCGTCGTCCTTTTCATTTATTTTGTAGCTATCTAACAGTTATTAGCAGAGTTTTGTGTCGTGTTTGCTACATGAATGCGTGTGTGGACAGAAGTCCGACTCGCTGGGCAAGCTGTACGAGATGGACGACGCGCCGGAGCGGCGTGGCTGGGTGGAGCGGCTGCTGGCCTTCATGGAGGAGCGGCGCACGCCCATCGCCGCCTGCCCCACTATATCCAAGCAGCCGCTCGACCTCTACCGCCTCTACCTGCTGGTCCGCGACCGCGGGGGATTCGTTGAGGTATCAACATACAATATAACATAATACAAAACTAAGCTTAACATTACTTTTATTATACTAGCTTTCGCCCGCGACTTAGTCTGCGTGAAATTAAAAATGAATAATAAAAAATGTAGCCCAAATCTAATTGATAACGTAGCTTTTTAATGGTGAAAGAATTTTTGAAATCGGTCCCAGTATTCTTTACGTGAATGAAATACATACAAAAATACGATTATTTTCTCTTTTTATTACTAGAATAGATATGCTTTAGTTTCAATACATAATGGTACATTTCATTGTTCTTCTATCTAGCATCTTTTCACTAGTCAAATATATAGTATCTGTATTCGTGAAGTACATCGCGGAATTTAATTTGCTACAGTAATTTCAATATTATGAAAAGCTTTTGATCAGTAAACATGATTGATACTTATTAGATATTTTCCTAGTACAAAGACACGTAGCAAGCAAACCCGCTATTCAATTACTTTTAAGACTTTAAACGTGATGCAACCGCGTCTCAATACAGCGCCGTCGGGCTGATGCATACAGCTGAGACTAATCGACTTCTAGGATTTATGTTGTGCATGTATCGTCGGCTGTGTGCGAACGACCGCCATAAACTCGCCGGCTTTTAACGATAGTTAATAATTTTTTATCATTAGAGCTCGCTGAGGCCGCTTGCGATGCACGAACATTGTCAGCGACAGGGATGTACAGTGTAATGCAAATGTCGATTAGAAATTATCGATATTTAGTTCAACAACACAACTTTATACAATCGGTACTCAAGTAGTCAACATTAATACTATCAAGCGTTGTAAATTTGTAGTTGAAATTACAGTTTAATATTACCTCATGCGTGACATAATTCTATACAATCATATCGATATCAGAAGATAACATCGATATCACGATTATTAATACATTTGAATGTAATGTTTTGATCATCGATATTTGTGCGCCGGCCATCCCTAGTTGGCATCCGTAAGGCGAGCCAGTCCGTTGCCAACCGCCGAGGGCCGCTCACGTGTCCGCTCTCCGTTGGGAAAACTTAATATTCTCAACGGTCGGCATGGTGAGGTTTCCACTCATTAAATAAACCGAGTTATCGTCTATTCCAAGGAATACTGTAAAGTAGACGGTTTATGTTCGCGCGGCGGCCGCGGCGCTTCGTGCTCGCGATGTTTGCTGAAAACTTTACACTTGACGTGTTCGGAATATTAGTTCTCGATTTATGTTAGGACAGTTGCGTTTGTGCTGCACCTTCCCGTTGCTAAAGTAATGAATAACTAAATTATGTGTACATTCATCGCGCAAATACAATTTCTTGTGCTTTTATACTTTCGGTTTAGAAATATCGTTAAATTTATGCAAAATGTTCTTTTTAAAACACGGCACTAAAGTCAAGTAATGTGTAAGTGCAATTTTTAATAATCATAGTGGTTTAACTAAATAGAGTTGTTTCAAAATGCAATATTAATTTCTTGTTCCCATGAATGTGTTTTTATTGATTTATACTCTTAAAAGATGACTTTCTGATCCTAATGATGATTTATTATTGTTTTATGGCTATATGAAAGTGTTTAATATCCTCAGGTCACAAAGAACAAAACGTGGAAGGATATAGCGGGTCTGTTGGGAATCGGCGCCTCGTCGTCAGCGGCCTATACGTTGCGGAAACACTATACAAAGAATTTGCTCGCATACGAATGCCACTTCGACCGCGGAGGAATCGATCCCCAGCCTATTATCAACCAAGTGGAGGCTTCGACCAAGAAGAAGGGGGGCAAATCTAATAATACTGCAAGTGCTGGTAAGAACTCTGCAATTATTTAGAGCTGAGAAACCTGTAGTACGAGAGTTCCATAATCAGGTAATAATTATTAGTATCGTAGTTAACTGTTATGTTTATTAGCAGGGTCATCGAACTCGCAAGATTCGTTCCCGTCCGGGGGCGGCGGCGGCGCGCCCGCGGCCCCCGGCATGGACGGCTACGGCGCGCAGTACGCCGGCTACCCGCCGCCCAGCACGCAGCCGCAGGGTAAACATATACGCATTACGACATACACACACAACCACCAAACATGTATCATTTGTACAATAATTAGGTGATAAACAAATACAACTAAAACTACATCATTCTCACATTTCATTTAGCAATTGGTCAATAGTGACTTGTAGATGTTAAATATATAGTTGCATTCGCGGGTAAAAACGTTTTAGGCGAAATTAATGCACATGTGCCCGTGCCCTAGCTGCACTATACGACGCTGTACATGAGCTCTAGGCTAGCACTAGATGACCTAGCGGTCCTAGACCATGCAGACACGAGCGTGGCCGCTTGTTTTCTTTATTTGTGCTACTTCCGGCTAACCATGTGTGTTACTAGCTAACAAAGTCATGCGTCTTAATGCTTTCCACTAACTCTTCTAATAGCACTGTCGATGTAAATATTGCCATCAACAATTCTTTTATAATGTGATTTTTTGATGGCCGTATTTTGGGGATAATATTAATGGAAATTTATTGATACTATTCTTAACACTGTGAATGAGACAAACAAGAAATATCAGTAAAATTTCCGTGTAAGTAGCGGGTAGAATAAAACCATGTGGTTGTAGGCGGCGGGCCGGGCGGCGACAACCTCGCCGCCTCCAACCCCTTCGACGAGCCGCCGGGGCCGCGCAGACCCCCAGGTACTTAACCCACCACCGGACCCCTACACAACCCAACACGTGCACATCATTCTATTAACCTTCCTAAAACAACGTTAAACAATCAATAAAATATAGAAATAACATTTTATTAACGACAACTAAGAAAAATTACAAAAATCATTTGGTTACAATATCATCAACCTCCTTCCATTACTGTAATGTACACTCACTTTGGGGTCATATTCTCTATGTTAATTGTAAATAAGGATCACCTCACCTACACATTCTGTCCTGTCTCTTGCTTGTTTATTGTGGCTGTTTTGATATGTTTGCTCTTCTGTGTGTTGTAAATATTGCACGATTTTTAAAATTATTTTACCATTAGTGTTTGTAAAATGTTAAAATCAATAGTTTTATATGTTGCTTTCATTTAAAAGAAATGAAGAACGAATTGTTAAATAATGTCCAAGCTCGTTTAGTTAGCTTATTACACGTAGTTTTTTTTTTTTGTTAACAAGTGTATTTTAGGGTGTTTTAATATTTTTGGGCTTTTATATGTTTTTTCGACTACAGTATGTTTAATTTTATATCTAAAAGAGATTTCATCGTATTTCAGGTTACCAACAAGGATACGGGTATGAATACGGATCTCCATACCCATCGAATAGGCCTGTTTACCCTCCTTATGGTCCAGAAGGTGACAGGTATGTGGATTTAATTCAGAACTTGTATCAATAATATACCTTTGTCTTGTAACATATGCAATAAACAAAATTGTAATTTCTAACTTCCGTACAAATCTGAATTGAATTTATACAGAAGTTTAGAGAGAAATAAACGATATTTATAACATAACATACTTATTTTGCTTCCAATTACATTTGCGCCGAATTAAAAAGAAAAAAACCTTATATTAAAAATTTGTGTTTGACAACGTTTTGCTACATGAAAAATACTTATTTACCATTGATGAGTTAGTTGTAAATTATTTTGTATGCAATATATGAAGTGTTGTGTTTGTTGTTGCAGAGCGTACGGCAGCGGCGAGTACCGGTACGGGGGGTACGCGGGCGGGTACCGCGCGGGCGCGCCGCCGCCCCCCGGCACGCCGCCCCCCGCGCAGCCCTACCCAGACTACTACCGCGCGCAACCCGCGCCGCACCCGCACCCGCAGCACGCCCCGCACCCGCAGCACGCGCCCCACGCCCCGCACGCGCCCCACGCGCCGCACGCCCCGCACGCGCCCCACGCGCAGCACTCGCCGCACCCGCAGCATCCGCAGCACACGCCCCCCATCGAGGTATGACAACTACTTACTCTACATACACCTATTGTCTTATTATATCTTACAGCAACTTATAGCCGTGCTATATCGTAGTATGATATCTGGAAATGATGGAGGTCTATGGAATGATCTACTAAGCATACTATAAGATACTTTTATTGTCGATACATCACTTCTTTGAAAGACATTATACAATGCTATTACTGATTGTCAGTCTATATGTCATTTGCCACGTCTAGATCGATCCACTGAACTCCATCGTGGCTGTGAATCATGTATGCGGAATCAAAGTATAATACTTCATCGAAATTAATAGGAACATGTGAATTTTTACTCGTAATATATGTATAAAAAACATTACTTCTATTCCTATACCCACTTTTCATATATCAGAAATGTCAATTTGTTTTCAACAACATTATTAATAACAAATACTTTTCATTAGTTGTAAAAATATCTAGGTATCTCTAGCTGACTTGATTTTAATATTTCCCTTCCAGAATCTTAGTTTAAGTAATTTTATAAAAGTTGAATGATTTATTTTAGTTATTACAATAGCTTTATTGACCAACGATATAGCATGGTTGTTATGTACGAAAATTAATTGTACGTTTAAATGTGCTTTCATATTGCTCTAGTGTTTGTGGACAATTGTTTTTAAAATTGGAAGTGAAAATGTAGATTAAAATATCTCATACTCTATGTTTAAAAATGTTTAGCGGTTTAAAAGGATTAATAGTAGTAAGTGAGGTATGGCGGGGCAATGTCGTCGTCGTGACGGTCTGTTTGGTGATGTGTAGATGTGTGGCGGCGCGCCGGCGGCGGGCGCTAGTCTAATGAGTTCGCAGCTCGCGCGCCAGCTGGTGGCGCCGCTGCCCACCGCGCGGCCCTACGTACGGACGTTTGTACCACGCACTCGACACCGCTTCCCATACTATTGGCAACTACGGGCTCCATACACACGCACGCACCGGCCCCGCCCCCCGACACGCCCCGACCCGCCAACGCCCCGCCCACAACCCGCCACACTCCGCCGAAACAAACTTAAGCAAGGTTTTACCTTTTAAGTGATGTCAATTTAATGGGAATTTTAAAAGTCATAGCAATGACTTTTCCCCAAGTCCTAAATCCTCACATTTCTTGTTTCAAAAATCATAAATACCTAAGTTTTTTAATATTTTGCAACAAAAAAAAATCGTAATGCAGTTAGAATTCTCCATAAACTATTTCCAAAATTGACCAATTAGAGTACGGCGGCGGGGAGCGAGCCGGTGGGGGGCCGATCATCAGTGGTTTTGGCTTCATTATATTGAAATAATACCACTCGCTTAACGAAATTTCAGCTATCACTGTTAATTTTTCTTCTGTTTACGTTTTTAACTAAATTTTGGCTTGCGGTGTTATTAATTGGCTTATCGAACATCGGACGTCGGAAGTCGGCGTCCGCTCAAACTGTACCAAAACCCGTTTACCTATCAAAATTTAACAAAACCGTTTTAAATGAAATGGAAGTCAAGGTATAGAGTGTGTGGTGGTGGCATTACACGTCGAATTATATTGACCACTGAATCATTTGCATGCATTTCACAGCGGTCATTTAACACGTTCGATGCCACCGACTCGTGGAGCGAGAAAGTCTTGTGGCATAGAACGTGTTAAGCTTAGCTATAAGTGTAACAGAATCGTAGCTTTGTCTATACTGCGGCTACATCCTCGGATGCATTATTGCTGGTTTGTGAAGATTTATCCACATGGAATAGACCAATATCATGTCTCTTTAGAGATACATTCTTAGATGATTAAACTTCTATTCATGTATGTAAATCTTTGGTGAAGCCAAGTTATAGCGTTATGATTCATTCGAAGGATCGTTACAATTCATCTCTTTAACGAACACGTTTGGGTTTACGGCTAGTGTTATAACATGTGATGGATTTAATACAACTGTGTCGACAATCTTGTTTTATCTTTGAGACAGCTGTATTAAAACTGCTATTTTATTTAAATAATGTGCAAATAGCTTCAAATGTTAAATTGCTTAACATTATCTTTGTCATCTGTTAGTATAAAACTTAACGTTAAAAGCAATTTAATTATAAAAATCAGAAGATCAGAAGATAATTTAAATTGAAAAAGGTAGTGTCAACTGATTTCTTGATCGATAGTTAATGATATTATTTTATAATTCGAGTCAATTAAATGTAAATTTGCTGTTTGAAAAATGACTTGATCTCCTTCTTATTAGCCTTTAGTGTTATAATTGTACGTTGTGAACTACGAAGGAAAAATATGATCATATAACTTGCATGCTTGAGAAAAATCTTTATGAAAAATATAAGTAAAATAACAGTTAATTAATTTAATATGTAATGTTCCAGTATGGTGGCGGTAAGGGCGCGAGCGCGGGCGCTGGTGGCGGCTCGGC